CATCTTAGCGAGGAGTGTGCTTCACAGTCTCCACCTGGAGAATACACATTGGAAGGACTGCCTGTTGCCTCAAATTTTACAGCGTCTTTGGTCCTCAGCAGAGTCGATCCAGACGGGCTGTGCGTACTTCTTCAGTACCACTGTGCTGTACACAGTGACTATAGATGCGACACAGAAGTTGAAGGGCAAGCAGAAAGAACGATGTAGCTGAATGATGCTTGTGACCATTATAAGCGGTGAAACTCTGGCTCAGATGAGCGCTGTGCATGGTGTCATTGTGTCCATGTAAGAAAATAAAGTTGAATTGCCAGGGCACATTGTTTATTATATTACAACCGATGGACGTTGCGCATAAATTAACGGTCAGGGCTAGCACAGCTGCGCGGGATGTACAGGGGTATTGCAGTAACGTTTCTGAAAAGTAAGACCCTTGCCGGTTATCCGGACAGACTTGGTATTAATGATATACTCATATACCTGTTTATTCAGATGCAAGTTATGTTCGAAAAACACGATGCCTAATCTTTCATTTCACTTTTTTTGCAGAGGATCAGATGGAGAAGGCTGTGCGGCAATGCCTTTTGGCCGCAGCGCATCAGTTCAACATCGACTCACAAAAAAAGTTGCTTAAGGTGCATGTGTAATAATTTTCCAGTGCCCGTCAATAGCCAGTAGCGTTATATTTTTCGCTAATTTCTGATCACTTATTTCGGCACATCAGTTTGATCTGCATAAATTTACAACTTTTAAGGGCATTTTCTAGGCAGCTGCACTTGGAAAGTCATTGTTGCGGCGTCTGGATGCATCTCAGTTTGTGGATATATGCCGTGTAATAAGGGTGTTGAATTCAGTACGAAAGCCGTATGTTGGATTGGCGCTCTCATTTGCCCAGTAAGCTGTTGCACGGATATTTCTTTGTTTAGTTACATTTTTGTATCTGTATCGAAAAAACGGTAAGACGAGGTAATTTGTAATGATAGCTTTCGAGATAAAGTGATTTTGCTCATCACACACAAAGGACTTTGCGAGAGGCTGGAGCTTTGCTAGGTGCATCTATTTTGTAAATTTTCGAGTCGGCATCCCGTTCAGGAGATGAGACGAATGTCAGGATCGCCAGCAAACCGACCTTCGAGTTATGCAGCGCTGGTCAAAGGAACGGGGAAAGTTGCTAGTTGCATAGCTGGCGAAGCAGATTATACATTATAGCTGGTCCAAATTTTGGTGCTGAAAGAACTGTAACGGCTCGAAAAACATTGAATTTACCTAGGAAACGATTTAGGAGGAGCTCAAAACAGAACTTACAAGATTTAAGG